CTATTGATTCAAATCAAAGAGGGGATTTTATAAGGATTTTGGAATCTAGAAATAAAGGAAATAGATTCATTCATATCCCCGGGGGAATAAATAATGAGGGACCTCAGTTGTTTTTTAAGGCTCTTTTGACCTTTGTTAAGCGAGCACTGCAGTGTGGCAAGGATAGGGGCAATGGGAATGAAACAGCAAAAACCAGTGATGTTAATGTCCTTGAGGTTTCTGTTGTAGGGGAGACTGTGTTTGATGCTCATAAAAGTCCCTCTCTTGATTCTAAGGACAAGCTTGAACTTGATGCAAAGCAATTGCATTCAAACTTACTTCCGAACGCATATAATGGAGAGGCACCTTCTGAAACATCTTCTGATCCCCAAATTAGCATCCTGCCCAGACAAGATCTTTCACAAGAGGTGTTAGAATCAAATCAAAATGGTGATCTTAATCTTGATAAGCAGGAGCTTAGGCTCCGTTCCGTTCAACTTATTTTTTCTGATCTGATCTGATTCTAATAAGTTCTGATCTGATCTGGTCTGATCTGATCTGATCTGATCGGATTGGATCTGATCTGATCTGATCTGATCTGATTGGATCTGATCTGATCTGATCTGATTGGATCTGATCTGATCTGATTAGATCTGATCTGATCTGATTAGATCTGATCTGATTGGATCTGATCTGATCTGATTGGATCTGATCTGATCTGATTGGATCTGATCTGATCTGATTGGATCTGATCTGATCTGATTGGATCTGATCTGATCTGATCTGATTAATTATGATTTAATTTAAAATTTCAAATCAATAATTTAATTTGACTTTATAATAACGTTTGAAAATTGTAATGATAATTCATATTATAATATAATCATTATTTTTTATTTAATGATTATTTTTTAATAAAATAAAAATAGTTAATTCATATATTAGAATAATCATTCATATTATAATGTAATAATATTTTTTATTTTATGATTATTTTTTTGTAAAATTAGAATTATACATTAGAATAAATATTTAATTTAGATATACGTTTAAAAGTAATTAAATTTAGATAATCAATATATAGAAGAGATAGTATTTTTATTAAAATATTTCATCCTTATAAAAGATCAAAAGTTTAGAAACTCAAATTACAAGTAGCAATAAAAATATATTTTAAAAGTAGAATTAGATTGACATTGTCAATGTATTTTAAAACTAATTTTTCTGACATCTAATAATTAAGGATTACTTTCTCAGCTTTTTATTTAACCTATTTCTAAAGTTTATTCTTTTTCATTTTTAAGAACAATAATAATAATAATGATGATGATGATGATGACGATGATGATGATGATGATGATGATGATGATGATGATGATGATAATAATAATAATAATAATAATAATAATAATAGTAATAATAATAATAATAATAATAATAATAATTCTTGATGAGATCTTATTTTAATAAGTCTTGATCTGATCTGATCTGATCAGATCTGATTGGATCTGATCTGATCTGATTGGATCTGATCTGATCTGATAGGATCTGATCTGATCTGATTGGATCTGATATGATCTGATTGGATCTGATCTGATCTGATCTGATTCGATCTGATCTGATCTGATCTGATCTGATTCGATCTGATCTGATCTGATCTGATCTGATTTTAATAAGAATAAGAAAAAATAAGAAAAAATAAGTTGAACGGAACGGGGCCTTAGTCTTGAAATGAGTTCTTCTTTGGTTGAAACTGATAAGCTGGAGGGGAACACTTCTACAGAGGAGGCTTCCCAACGATATAATATTCAATACCCCCCACTTCCAAGAGTGCTTTTATCCCCATTTGCTGCTGAATTCATCCCCTTAATGCCCAACCCTTATGCTGCTCTTTTTAATCATGCGGAAGTCCTCGGGAAAAACAGCTCTCTTAAGGATGATGAATTTGACAAGATTGATGATGGGAACAAGGTACTCTACAACAATGCATTAGAAGAAATCAGGGAAGAAAGAGAAGGGCCAATTTTGTACACGCACTCGGAAGGAGAAGACAAGGCCTTCAATGACAACATCCTTAAACCTATACAAATAGATTACTCCAGGATGTTCAAAACACCTTTTGACTTGGGAAGAGATTACAAGGGAAGGCACATCTACTCCCCTTCGCAAATAGTTACCAGAAGTAGGGCTAAGCTTTTAAAAGAAGGAAGAAAGAAAACCCCTATTGGGTGGGAAGAAGGGTTAGACTCTTCAGAGGTTCCCTATGCAGAAGACATTCGAAATTTCTTCAAGCTTTGTTGTCCAAATAAGCCAGAAAAACCTCTTCAGAAGCAATCTCCGAATAAACCTTTAACCAAAAGGCAAAAGAAAAAGTCTAAGAAGAGACTTAAGAAGAAGAAGGGTTCAGGGCACGATAGGGAAGCATCAGATTAATCAATTCGCTGGTCCTTTAGTAGTTTCCTTATACTACTTTTGGAAACTGTGTTATAGCCGGGTTACTTTACCCATATCGTGTTTCCTCTTCACTGGTCTTAAGCCTAGATATAATTTGATATGAATCTGCCCCTGCTAGCCATAAGGAGGGTTAATTTGAGAGATGTTTGGTATTAGGTTGGTGTACATAGTCTTCTTGCAGTTGTCGAGAGGGCTTTCAGTTATCTGGCCTACTTCACTGCAATTTTTCAAAGTTATCCACTCGTAGAATCTTACAACCTTGCTTCATTTGTTCCCTTAGTTTGGATAATATTCTGGGTTTTGAACTCGATCAATAACTTAGTATTTAGGAACTTCAGGTTGAGATCTTTACCTCTTGGACACTAGCTAGCAAGGGTTGCACTAATTCGTTGGGATGCTGTACTCTTTTGTTTTGGTTGTTTTGTTTTAGAGCTTTGTTTTGATGCTTTGGCCATTTTGTAGGGGATGGGTCAACCCCACCTTTTGTATTTTTCTTTTCTTTAATAAAATTTCCTTTAATATATATATATATATATATATATATATATATATATATATAGACGCACACACACACACACATATAGACACACACTCCTTCATTTATAAATACCTAAAGAAACTAATTTATAACATTCAACTAAAATTATTTTAATACACTTGAGTAATTTTAGTAAGTTAAAAAACAAAATTTACATATTACATATTTAAAAAACAATATTAAAAATTTTATAAAGGAGGAGTTGATTTTATTTTTTTCAAATAAGTTGTTTAAGATTAAAAAAGCACTCAAATTAAATCTTTCCATGATAGACATTTTATAACAATATCAATTATATCAATGATTTTGTGTTTGACTCATATTTATATATTATTATATTTTTTAAACTATAAAGGAATTTTTATACAATCTTTTTTTAATTATGAAATATTATAAAAGATTAAGTGAACTTGTAACAAAAAGCACTTTAGCTTGAATTGTTAGGAACTCAACTAAATTACTAAGAGATCTTGGGTTCAAACCCCATGGTAGTATGCTTTTGGAAAAAATCCCCCCAAAAAAAATTGTCCGACTTGTTCGACCGGCCGGTTCTTGCCAGTTCACACTGGTTTGGACTGGTTTGAAGCTTATTGCGGACAATAGGGCCGGACCGGACCGGTTGGACCACCGGTTCGCCGGTCCACGTTCCGAACCCTTCCGGTCCGGTCCAGTTTTTAAAACTTTGATCATAACTATTGTTATTTGAATAAACTTACGGGTACACCAAAATGGGAAACCCATTTGTACACCAGGCAAACAAAAAATGTGTTTATCTGGATTTACCTGGTGCATAAATGGGGTACCCCATTTTGGTGTACCCTTAGCATGCCCTTTTTTATTTATATATTTCTTTTGTCCCAAAATGTTCACTATATTTCAAATAATGTATAAAATATCATTTCTTTTAAAGTTATTTTATTTCATCCTCAGTTTTTGGGACAGTTGTTTCCTCTACCTTCTTCATCGGCACTTCCTCACCTTTCAAACTCATCCTCAATTTTTGGGATGGTTGTTTCCTCTACCATCTTCATCGGTACTTCCTCACCGTTCTTGATGATCAACCATAGTTGGAAGTTTGTAGAACGAATATAAATTCTTATCCAATGCTTTCCAGTAGTTATAGTTGGTGCCATCAAAGAGTGGTGGTCTTGAGGTAGATTTCCCTTTACCAATACGAGCGTATAAATTTCTAAAAGAAGAGCCCATGATCTTATTGCTCTCAAACAGTTAAGTCTAGAAGAGAGTTAGGCTCCGATACCAATTGTTATAATAAAGTCCTAGCGCTAGAGGGGGGTGAATATCGTTTGGAACAAATCGCAGGAATTTAAAAATAAAGAGAATGAAAAGTAAAGAGCGTAAAGAAGGGCACATCGAGATTTATACTGGTTCAACATATATAATGTGTGGCCAATCCAGTCTAATGAGAGATTCTCTTAAAGGCCCTGCTAACTATGTGAAGCTTACGGGTGCTTAACAATGCAACTCGAGAAAACTTGAGAACTCGAGTCACACAACCCTCAATGATGCTTGTTCAGAGCTACAGCACTCCATGACTTCAGCCCGAAGAAATATACTCTTCCTTCACTCAACGAAGGGAACAAGACTCCTTTCAAGTGTATACTACACTTAGACACTCAAGAACAATATAGTCTCCTCAAGAGTAGATTATGAGTAAACTAAAGAACGCTAAAGAACACGAATTCGAAATATGTTCTTCAAATATATTCTTTTAAGGGACATTACTTCCAGATTCATAACAGTTTATATTACTCGTAGTTTATAAAAATAGTAACATACTGTCTTTAGAAAATGTGTTAAAAAATTCCACTATTTTTGAATTCGAATTCGAACACGAATTCAAAATATGTAAGCGAATCAAATATGAGTGTTTCTTAAATATATACAAATTCAAATAAATATCATTATAAACAAATACGAATCAAATAATGAGATATTTGCTTTGATTTGATTCGTATACACCCCTACGAGGTGGCAACACCGACATGCGGGGATGGCAATGACATAGAGAGGGTGGCAATGGTGAAGTCATAACCCTTCATTGAAATCGTGGAGAAAAATCTAAATAGTGCGAATGAAAAAACAGATCAAGTCTATCAATCAAAAGGGTAATAGAATCAGTTCTTTGTACAAATCGATGTCTTTGCTATTTTTAAAAAAACTTTGAAAAAATAAAATAGGCATTGGCATTGGTTGTTTAAGATAATCGATGCTACTGATCAACATCTTGTTTTTCATGACATTGTGTTGGAATTTTTGGCATTTTTAATAGGCATTAAATGTACCAACTTGGTGATATTTGTCATTAGGTCCACTAACGGTTTTAACCGTTAATTAATGGACGTGTTTCCTCTTAAATGAGATAAATGTTTTGAAAAATATTACGCCAAAAATGGTAGAGGGTGAATGAGAAATTGATTCTCAGAGTTAACCCGTTAATAAAAGAATATGGTGAGGATTGCAATTTTTGCAATTTTACTGAACCAATCTTCTTTTATTAATTTTACTTGTTGTTTAAAATTAGTCCATTTTTACGGAGTTAACTGGCCATTAATCTCCAATTATTTGGGACAAATTTTAAACAAAGCGTAGCATAACGGATGTGTTAATGGCTAATAAATCACCATTACCACACCATTAGTGTGCCACAAATGCCATGTTTAATACTAAGCCTTAATGGTGTGTAGGTTACACCTTTTTAAAATAGCTTAGTTATAAAGGTAAAGGGCTCTCTCCATTTTTTTGTGAGCTTCACGTGAGAAAGAAAAGGAAAAAGAAAGAAAAGCTTTCTTGTTAATTTTTTGAGAGAGCTCTTGACCTTCCGGCCAAATTTTCCGGCCATCCCCTTTAAAGTTTTTGGTTGCCAACATTCCTACGTTGTTCTTGTTCGTTGGTGTGTGGTTGGTCCGTACAATCCCCACACACGATAGCGGTTTTATCCTGGGAGGAGAGTGCCCACGTTTTTTCCAGTACGGTAGGCGGGCACTACTACCTTAAAGACAGCTCTGGCGACTCCGTTGTCCTTCTGTGGTGTTTTCTTTGCAGGACTAGTTCATAAAGACCTCGCTGCATTCTGTCCTAGTGCATAATGTCCTCGTAGCCCAGTGCATAATGTCCTCGCAGCCCTGTGCATAACGTCCTTGAATCGCTGTCCAGTGCTTAAAGACCTCGCTGTCCAGTGCTTAACATCCTCGCTGTCTAGTGCTTAATGTCCTCGTACAACAAGGCCATTTGAAGATATAAATTTTTATTTTCCAACTTTGTTTATTTTGTAATATTCTGAATAAATTATAAATTCAGAATTTCATTTATTTTTTATTTCCGGGGCCGTTCATCTTCCTCGTCCGTTGTAATCCGTACAAAAATTGTAACAGTCTTAAGGTAGTATTCATATCCGTGCGCAATGGCGGGTATGGACGGATTCGGTTTTGACGCTCACACCAGAAACGGGAGTAGTTCTGAGACTCCGGTTGTGAACATTTTGGCTGGATTGGGTGGCTCTGTTGGGCAGACCACTCCGACCAACATTCCTTTCGGATCGAGTGCGGCCATGGGGTCCACTCCAATCACCGCCTTCGTTGGATCGAGCGCGACTATGGGGTCCGCTCCGGTCACCTCGGTTATTGGACCAACCGCGGCTACGGCCGCAATGGTCACCCCACTCGGACCAAATATGGCTTCGGCCATACCGGTTATTCTCTCACTTGGACCGAACACGGGTGTCTTCACATCCGCACCGGTCTGACATCCTACTGTCATGCTACCTGCGAACTCTGTCAAAGAACTGGCAAAGTTCACAGGTATTGGCTTTAAAATATGATAGCAAAGGATGTTATTTTGGCTGACCACCCTCAACCTTGCGAGGTATTTGAGGGAGGATCCCCCTGTTGTGGGGGAGAACGCGGATGAACCAACAGTTCAGGCTAAAGAAGCATGGATAGCGAATAACTATACGTGCCTTATATGCTGTTTATAGCAGAGCTGCATCCGCAAAGGAGTTATGGACTACACTGTCCAACAAATACCAGGCCGAGGACGCCGGTGCAAAGAAATTTGTTGTCGGTAAGGTCTTGGATTTTAGGATGGTGGATTCCAAACCCGTGGTCAGTCAAGCTAAAGAATTGATTCTCATTTTTAATGAGTGCACTGACGAGGGAATGGGAGTCAGTGAGGCATTCCAAGTGGCGGCGATTATTCATGTGCTCCCTGATATATATCCGGGAGCATGCCCGAAGACTCTCCGTAGCCCGCCAAGGGATAGACGGATCAGGGGAATAAAGCCCAAGTGTGGTGACATTAATTGGGTTGAAACTTCTCCATTTTCCTGCCTTAGAACCCAACCCAACACCATGGTTGTCCTACACCCACCCTAGGCTGAGCCCACACTCCCCATTCCTTCCTTAAACATCCAAAATATTTCCTTTTCAAAATAAAGTTTTTCCTACTCCTATTTTAGCCCTGGCCGAAAATAAGAGTGTGTAAACCAAAACCTTTTTGTTTGTTGTTATTTTCCTTCTTTTAAGCCTTTTAATAAACCAGTAAAACCCTCTCTTCCTTCCTTTCATTCCCTGCCCAAATAAACCTCACAATCCCAACACAACACCCACAAAGAGCCAAAACCATGACCCACCTCCAGCCCCTACTTCCTGCCCATGTTTTCCCTCACAATAACCTAAAGCCATAACTTCAAAATACCCACAAATAATACCCAGCCCTGTCCCCTTTTAATGACCAAAAACAACCCTCCATTCTTACCCAAATAATACCCACAAAACCCAGGAAAACAACCACTACAATCCTAAAACCCAAAACCCCACAATCCCCAGCCCCATCCCTGATTTTATTCCACTAAGGAGACAAGAAGGAGTGGCCAATACCCCATGCCTTGTAAGAGATTGTTGCAAGGAAGCTTCCCTAAGTTTTATTCAATGTATTGTATTATTTCCCCCTTCCCCTTCCTAACTCAGGCCTTGTGGCCATTGTAACACAACTTTGAATATTAAAACTCCCTTTTACTCTTTGAGTATTTATAAAATAGTGTGATGCTATTTTAGCCAAATTCCTAATTCTGTATCTTAAGAAGTGGTTATCTTAAGTGTGACTTTTAGGTTCTAGATATTTGATTAAGTGTGTTATATCTTAATTAAATTCTAGATTCAAACCCCAAGTTAGGATAAGAGTGTGTAATATCTCTTAAACACCAACTTGGTTTATCCACCCCTGATTCTCTCCCATTTCATACCTCCCCATTTCTCCTCTTAATCTCACTCTTTTCTTCCATTAAAATACCCAAAAGAACTCCCTCATCAGACCCATATATTTCCAACCCATTCCCCACAAAAACGCCTTTCTTCCTGTCTAGAATCACTGCCAAATAATCGATTATCATTCCCCACAATCAATTATCAGTTCCATTAGAAACATCTGCACGTAGTAATAATCGATCATCCCTTTAAGATAATCGACTATCACTCATTCCCAGAAAATCTGCAGCCTTCCATAATCGATTGTCACTTCTTGTAAGTCGATTGTTTACTTCTCCTAAACTTCTGAAGCTCGTCCTGAGAAACTGAATCACTTGACAATCGATTATCCTACTTGGACAATGGATTATCCACCCTTCCTGCAAAACGGGGAGCTTGTTCCTTAAATCCGAGCTTAATACCGACAAAACCGGAGCTTAGATATAACACTCCCGCTGGCTTAGGATGAGTTCCGGAGCTATCTCAAGCTCAAACGGAAAGAGATGACTTTAGAACAGTTGCTTGTTCGTCTCCAGATCCGTGAAGAGGGTCTCACTCGCGAGAAGAAAGTAGCTGTTGCTAAGGCCAATGTGGTGGAGCATCCACCCAAAGAGGGTTCTTCCAAAGGGCCCAAGCCAAATAAGGACAAGAAGAAGATTGGTCCTAAAGGAGGCGTCGCGAAGACTAAGTTCGCGGGGAAATGCTACAACTGGGGCATTACAGGCCACCGTTCTTCAGAGTGCCGCAAAAAGCCTCAGAAGAAGAAGCAGAAGAAGGAAGAAGCTCTCTGCTCGAAGCTAGATGCCATGGACCTTTGTGCTGTCGTGATAGAGGTCAACCTGGTCGAATCTAACCCGAAAGAGTGGTGGGTTGACACTGGAGCCACTCGTCATATCTGCTCCAATTGCGCCATGCTCTTTGACTTTAAGGAGACTTCTGGCGACAAGGTGTGGATGGGAAACTCCGCCCAATCCGAGGTTCAAGGAGTGGGCAAAGTTAAGCTCAAGATGACATTCGGCAAGGAGCTCACGCTGAATGATGTGTTGTATGTTCCGGACATACAGAAAAACTTAGTGTCAGGCTCACTATTGAACAAACATGGATTCCGCATGGTGTTCGAGTCTGATAAGCTGATCTTGAGCAAAAAGGGAATATTCATAGGCAAAGGTTATATTTCTGATGGGCTTTTTAAGCTTAATGTACTCACTGTTGTTGAGAAAATTAATAAAACTCCAGTTGCCTATGTTTGTGAGTCCTCCAATGTGTGGCATGGAAGACTAGGACATGTTAATTATGCATCTCTTCGGAAATTAATTAACATGGAATATATCCCTAAGTTTAACATTGGCCAGTCCCACAAATGTGAGACGTGTGTCGAAGCAAAGTCAACGCGAAGTTCGTTTCAAACAATTGAGCGAACCACTCGGCCACTGGATTTAATTCACACGGATCTGTGTGATTTCAAATCAACGCCTTCAAGAGGTGGTAACAAATATGTTATCACTTTTGTCAATGATAGCACAAAGTACTGCTATATTTATTTACTTAAAAGTAAAGATGAGGCGTTGGACACTTTCATTCGGTATAAGAATGAAGTAGAAAATCAACTCAATCGCAAAATTAAAGCGATTATGAGTGATAGGGGCGGGGAGTACGAAGCTCCATTCGCCGAATTGTGTGCACAACAAGGGATTGTGCATCAACTAACACCGCCATACACACCCCAATCAAATGGTGTGGCGGAACGTAAAAATCGCACTCTCAAAGATATGATGAATGCGATGTTACTCAGTTCGAGGCTACCCCAAAATATGTGGGGGGAGGCTATTTTATCTAGCAATTATTTGTTAAATAAAATACCCCGAAAGAAACTCGATAAGACTCATTACGAGTTGTGGTATAATAGGAAACCTTCCTATAAATACCTGAAAGTGTGGGGGTGCCTTGCAAAAGTTTTAGCACCACCACCAAAGAAAATAAAGATTGGTCCAAAGACTGTTGATGGAATCTTTATTGGCTACAGTGGTAGCGCGTATCGATTCTTAGTGTATAGGTATGATAATCCAGAAATACATAAGAACACGATAATGGAATCGAGGAATGCAACATTCTTCGAAAATATATTTTCGTTAAAGTCGAGGGAAGAAGCAAGTTCTTCCAAACGTTCACATGATGAAATGTTGAACGATGGTTCCTCGGATTAGTCTAATACCAGTATAATTGATGAAACCGAAACTGAGACTGAACTAAGACGAAGTAAAAGGACACGGACTAAGAAGTCCTTTGGTAATGATTTTCTAACTTATTTGTTGGAATTTGAATCGGGGACTCTAACATGTTTATTAGAAAATGAACCACGAACTTATCGTGAAGTTGTGACTTCGTCTGAAGGCCCTCAGTGGAAAGAGGCAATTAAAAGTGAAGTTCATTCTATTATGCATAATCACACTTGGGAGTTAGTGAATCTACCTCCTGGATGCAAACCGTTAGGTTCTAAGTGGATCTTTCGGAGGAAAATGAAACCAGATGGTTAGATTGATAAGTACAAAGCCAGACTTGTAATTAAGGGTTATAATCAACGTGAAGGCTTTGATTATTTTGATACATATACCCCTGTGTCAAGGATAAATTCCATTAGGATGATACTTGCAATAGCTTCCTTGCGGAACTTAGAAGTACATCAAATGGATGTGAAAACAACTTTCCTTAATGGAGATCTAGAAGAAGAGATCTACATGGAACAACCAGAAGGGTTTATAGTTCCTGGTCAAGAAAGGAAAGTATGTAAACTCGTTAAGTCATTATATGGTCTTAAACAAGCACCAAAAGTATGGCATGAGAAGTTTGACCATGTAATATAATGATGAACTCTGGGTTCAAAATTAATGAATCAGACAAGTGTGTTTATCTAAAAAACACATCCCAAGGGTATGTCATGTTGTGTCTATATGTAGACGACGTACTCATAGTTGGTAGCGATGACAAGATGGTCAAGTCTACCAAAGACATGTTAAACTCGCGATTTGACATGAAAGATATGGGTCTAGCTGAAGTAATTCTTGGAATTAAAATTGTGAGAAAGCCTGGGGGTCTAGCACTGAGCCAATCCCATTATATTGATAAAATCCTTGACAAGTTCAACAAGGATGACGTTAGAGTAGCAAAGACGTCGTTGGACGTCGATGCACACCTGGCTAAAAACCGAGGTTCCAGTAACTTTCAAATCGAGTATGCGAGAGTTATTGGAAGTTTGATATATCTAATGAGTTGCACTCGACCAGATTTAGCTTGTGCCATAAGTAAGCTGAGTACATACACCAGCAATCTGAGTGATGAGCACTGGAAGGCTATTGTACGTGTGATGAGATACCTGGGGTATACACGTGACTATGGATTATGCTAATCGAGATATCTACCAGTACTGGAAGGATACTCGGATGCGAATTGGATATCTGATAGTAAAGACTTGAAGTCCACAAGTGGATATGTCTTTACGCTAGAGGGTGAAGCAATATCTTGGAAATCCTCAAAGCAAACAGTGATTTCTAGGTCCACCATGGAGTCTGAGTTTATAGCTCTAGACAAATGTGGAGAGGAAGCTGAATGGCTACGCCACTTCCTAGAGGACATTCCAAGATGGGATAAACCGGTCCCACCAGTTTGCATCTATTATGATTGTCAATCAGCAATAGGACGTGCAAAGAGTAATATGTATAATGGTAAGTCTAGACATATTCGTCGTAGACACAAAACCATTAGACAACTTCTCACAACTGGGATTATCATGATTGACTATGTGAAGTCAAAAGATAATCTGGCGGATCCGCTAACCAAAGGGTTAACAAATGAGTTGCATGAGAAGTTGGTGGCAGGAATGGGTTTGAAGCCCTTATGCTAGGACAGTCCTATGAAGGAAAACCCAACCTGGCTGGTACCCAGGTTCAATGGGACAACCTACTTGTAGGATAAAGCGAGGTCACTGTGGGGGCGGTACCGGAACCTTCGGTCAGTCCCTT